GCAGGTCGGAAAATTGACCACCTACTAGAGGGGACCCTGGACCGTGGGACGACAGATCTCCCCCTGGACGGTGCTGATTCAGGGAGGGGAGAAGGGCCGGGAGATGGTGGTCAACGTCCGCCGACTAAAACCATGTAGAGCAGCTCCAGCAGGGGGGGACCCCACTGTTCAAGTACCCCGAAATCCCGGGGTCCCCACGCCCCCCATACTCGGGGACCTCGCACAGTATATGGGCCCCACGGGGCCCCGAGCCCCGAGGGGCCCCGACCCGGGCCGGGGGGGACGGGGACGACGGCCCTTAAACCCTACCGCCTCTGAGGTTGTTCTCCAGCCCGCAGGTGCCAAGGACCAAGGAGAACCGTTGCAGTGGAGGAGGAGACCGCCGCCGGAACTCCGGGAGACGGAGCGACCACCCCCGAGGCCGGCCACAAGGACTGGACGAGTCCCACGGACCCCTTGATGCTACCTCGTGGGAGCAACCCAGGCGAGGTGCTCCAGTCAACTCGGGACGGGGACTGGCACCTCGGGGAGCTATGTGGTGCCACAACAGCGAAGCCACTCCGCCGAAACCGGGGCCGTCGCTGTGCTGCTGCGACCGAGAAGCCACCCAGCTCCCGTCACAGCGCTCTCCCCGCCACCCCCCACATAAACACACACACACACTCACATAGGGCCTCGTGGGGAGGGGGCACCTGCTCTGAGTTTTTACCCGAGAGACCCCCTCGTGGGGGTGCTCCACGGTTTCTCAGGGCCAGGGAATTGGCAGCCCCCCCCCCCTCCCCCAGGCCAAATGGCACTGCGGCGCCGTGGCTTAACTTAAAATTAAATGACCACGGCGAACTCACTGAGAACCGCAGTGAGGAAATGCCCAAGACACACACGGACCAGCAGGCAAGTGAGGAGCGGGGCAGCGCGGGTTAAACGTCTCTACCCGTGATGCACCACGGATTAACGTCTCTACCCGTAATGCACCGCGGGTTAGCGTCTCTACCCGTGATGCACCACGGATTAACGTCTCTACCCGTGATGCACCACGGATTAACGTCTCTACCCGTGATGCACCGCGGGTTAACGGTGATGATGCGGCACCGGGTCGCTTATTGAGTCGGTGCACTTGGTTAAACAATGGGGGGGCGGAGCGTCGGAGAGGGGGGGTGATCGGATTGGATAAGAGGCCAACGGGTCGGTGGCACGCATGCTTTGAAGCCGAGCATAAAAAGGGACGATTTTGGAAAGCACAGGGTCGTTTTCGCTGGGGATCAACTGGAGACAGGGAGCGAGGAGCCGTCATCTCACTGTTACTCGCACGTCCGTGAAACGGGTCAGAGAACAGCCAGATTCCGTTTACAGCATCATCTTTCCGCGATCCCCAACACTGCGAGGTCGGACTGTAAGTACAAGGAAGAGAGGTAAGACAAAGGGGCGAAATTCTGAGAGAAACAGAGACTACAGAGCGGACTGACCAATTAAGTACAGACAGAGAGATAGGTTAGACCTGTCCTGCTGGTTCGCACTGACATGCGCAGTTTGGTTTGTTTATTCGTGGGGAATAAATCGTCAGTAGAGTATAAACCGTGTCGTGTTGTCTCTGTGAGTGCGAAGGGGAGTGCGTGGTGTGGTGAGCCTGCGCGCTGTGGTTTCTGTGTTTACGCACGGGTGTGTAATTTCGCCCACGTGTACGCGCTCGCCGCGGCACGTTAACCCGTGAGCCTGCGCAGCTCGCCGTGATTGTAAAGTGGTTAGTGCAGCCGGTTAAATCATGCCCCGAGGAGCAGCAGCAGCGAAGAGGGGAGAGCAGAAGGACGGTGGGTCACGGGGGAACGGGGAGACGGGGGGCAGTCTCCCTAACACGTGACGTCATTTATGGACGGTCCCTAAGTGGATTATTACATGGCAGGTTCATTAGAGACGGTGGCAGTGCCTTGGAGGCCCCTTAATCCAGCAGTAGATTGACCATGGCTGACGATAATTGGAAAGCAAACGGCCATATTTACTGGAATTATCTAAGTTGACGATTGGCTCCGTACGGTGCGGAATACGTTCAACATACATCCGGAGGAAATAACTATCCCCACACCCACGAATAACTGAGCAATTATATTTTTATTGGTCCTTTTTAATGGTGGTTACATAGAAATATGGGGTTACTTTGGTTCAAAGCTGAAGTTAGTGAAAATTCGATCACTTTCCTAACAAACAAACGGTCATTTGGCATACTGATACATTTCAATGTGCGCTGGTGTTGGCCTGCATTAATAAAACGAGATTTCACTCCTCACAAACGTGAGCATATTCAATTTAGGCGAGACAACATTTGGAAACCTGCCTAAAGCAGTTTGTGTTGTTACTCAAATATGAAACTGAAGTACGATAATGCTGGTAGAATAAGAAACTACATTTAATTTCAAGTGATGCTTCTGAAAGGTGATGTAGCATTACTTTTGGGTCCGGTGTAGGTGCAAACTGTAACCGTGTTATCACGGCAACATTTTTTTTCCCATCCCTTAATATAACTCCATTATTATTTAAGATTAAAATCGTGAATGTCAGCCTGACATTTGCAAATTTTCAAATATTTGCTTTGGTGCATGCCGCGACACTGTTGAGCCTTGTAGCGCTGAATAAGCTGGCACCTTCCAATATCCAGCGCCGTGGGTTTGAACGAACCGGCAAGCGCCATCACTATCAGCAGACACGCAGCTGCGCTGGGGATTAATTTACAGGTGGCCGCTCATTCCGCAAGCGATAAAAAAAGGCATCGCCTGCTACGCCGGGATCTAGTCAAGCAACGGGTGGCATATTATCTTCGAACTATCCCGAGCACACTACCTGCTAAAAACGCATCAGCAGCGGCAGCAGCGGCAGCAACAGTAGTAACATTGGCGGAACACATTATAATTATCAATCGACTGGTAGAAATAAGCTACTTCCTTGATGGTGCCAATTATTCCTCGATGGCTTTATCTCAAACCTACATTAACTCTGAAATAAAAATATATATGCAGCGTATATATTCATGAATGTTCATAGCATTAAGAAAGCAAAAAGTGTTGGTTTGAGTTGGACTAGACTAGAGGGTACTGATTGTATGTTCACTTACAAAGTTAAAAGCCAATTGTTAGAATGTGAACAAAGGCAAGTTTAACAAATACGCTGCTTCATATTGATACGTTAGCTTGAAAATAAAAATGTGAAAATTTTCATAAATATAAAGCAGCATTTACAAAGCAAATTCTTGCACATTTTGCTGATGCAGCATAGTCATTCATCTTCATATAATGCTGCATATTGTACGATTAGAATTTTCCTGTAAAATAGAATTAAAAGTTCCTGCGTTTGTTTTATGCAATGACACCTTAAAATCACAACCTGTAAATGGTAGCGTTTGCTGTGGCTTTTCACCCGAGCTCAAAGGAAGTTTAACAGACCAATGGCCGAATGTATTCACATGCTGTGCGCATACTACAGAATATACATTATTGGTCGTATTTTGCCCACTCAAAGCATCCCATCCACATAAATAAAACGGGACACATTATTAAAGCATGCAGTTATAAACATAAGGCTATAATTGTCTATAAACTCTATATTATAGTTTGATCATATGGAAGCCTGGGCAAAGAAACAGTGAGATCAATGCTGTAATCCCAGCGAATAAAGTGAGACATTGCCAGTGGCTTCTATTACAGAATTGACGCCACTCTGACAGCCACACTCGTACAGAAGCTGACAATGCCACGATTGTGTTGCTAAAATCAAGCTCAAACTTACAAAAACTCTGTACACATTCAAAAATGATGAAGATTGCAATATTCATCGTCCAGAGGTTTCGTAAAATTGTGGACTGGCCCGAAAGCTGTCCACTTTGGAAAGCACAACACTTTATGAATGTCACATAAGAAACTGTCCTCTGCATGTATACATTTACACATATACTGTAGGTGTGATATTTGAAAATCTACGGCATTAAATTTCAAATCATTCAACCATCTTTTTTTGCCCCTGCTACAGCCCACCCAAAATATGATGGCGAGCATTCTGGAGTTGCAAGGTAGGCAATGGCAGGCTCAAGGTACTAGCTTGAAAGTGACGTTGCAATCAAATGCATAGTTTACATTACTTAACGTAATATGTAACGATGCTCATACACGACACAAGAAGACCATGTACAGCGGTGTGGCAGGTGGTGTTTTTAAGATGGAATTATCGTGGGGTGTTTTTTCGTGCACACAACACCCCAAGGTGATCTTTAATATCCCGTACAATTCTCTTGATGCCATCTGTGAAGGAGATCACATCTCGACTCTTTGAGTGGCCAGTGTTTCTCCAAGTGGCCAGCGAGAGTGCCATAAATCACAAGGCAAACATCACATTTTTCGATTTAGAGAACATAAATATCACTGCCCTATTGGGAAATGGGCCGATTTTTTCTAAAGGCTTTACATTTGTGAAAGCGAGGGTACTTTTTATTTTCTAATCATATATTACTGTTCATTTACCACAGCCAATACTTATAATTGGCTGCCAAAACATACTGAGACTCGACAATTCACAGCTGCTTTGTGCTCGTTCTACAATAATTGTTTACTATTCTAATTATGCAAGTGCATGCATGTTAAAAGAGTGTCTATGTGGTCATATTTATTATTAGACTAGCCCTTTTCAGTCGTAACTTTTTAAAACATTAACAAATGGAACGCATCCGAGAGTAATGAAATCAGCTCGTATGTAGAACATGCTGGGTGGATCATTGCGTGTGCATGGTTGGTTTTCTCCTGGTCCACGGGTTTTCTCACCCACATGAAGACAATCACTCATTTATGCTTTTGGTTACAAATCACAATGCAGAACACTCCTGAGGTAAAGTCTTGAGACTGAAAAAACATTTGGCATTACTTTGTGCATTCATTATTGGTATGCTCTTCCGCATTACCGTTCAGTCTCATGAGATGATTTCAAGCTTAATCACCGTTGTAATATACACAAAACTGGACAAAAAATGTAAACACTGTAAAATATTTTATTGGTAACTGTCCAAAATCAACATAGGAGGAAAGATGGGGCATGAGTAGACAAATGTTGTTTACACAGCATTGTAGTCACTACCTATATCATGTATAAAAAGGTTACACAAATATAATATTTAATAAAAGCTTTTTGTTACTGAGAGAATACAATAAAAGCCATAGCTACAATGTCCCTGTCTCAAATATAAAATGCAATCTATGTTGTTTATTTGAAAGAGATATGAGGTATGTCAGTCAGCTCGGTGAAGTCATCTGTGTGTACATTCAGCTGTTTTGTTGTTGTAAATCTACCAAGTTTCATTTGGACACTGGCCTTGGCTAAAAAATCCTGAGTTAGCAATGCACTTTCCTGAAAGTGCGTGAAGTTATGGCAGTCAGTTCAGAGGAGCCTTAATGTCCAAAAGTGAACTAAGTTGTAACAAAATATAAGCACAAATCTGATTTAAAGTGACTAATAAAATAATTGACATTAAGGGGTAAAAAAAAATCTATAATGGCCATATTAATCTAAAATGTAGATATAGTTTAACAGATACCTTATTTGTAACATTTCTTTTACGGTAATACATGTGTATCTTCATGGGCTACGGTTAGGGAGAAGTGGTTTTTCTTGAGGCTCTTCTCTAAACTGGTTTTACAAATGATGACACAGAGAGACTGACATTAAGCCACTGTAACTTCGTGTATTGCAAAAGCAAGACAATCCAAAAACATACCCAGTTGAAGAAAACAGTACGTTCGTGAAGCAAGGCTGCTTGTGGAGTACTGGCAAATATCCACGTGAAAAGATTTCCAAAATTTCACGTGACATCATGACCTCTGGTTTTAAAGAGGTTTTCATTAATATTCAGTGTTAAAATGCATTATTCTGGATGTACCTTGTCCAAATATTTTTTTAACGATGAAACACTTACCAAAGGTTTGATGATGCTCTTGAAAAATATTTTTAAATTTGCAACGCATTGTGGACACTTGAAATTGTGGCATAATAATTATTAGTTCTAGAATGCACCATTTCTCTACCACTGGGATTGTTGTACCTTAAGAGAATTAGGGGTTGAGGGAAACAAACACTGAGGTACTTAATATTTTTTTTCTTTTAGCCAAAAACAACTGTATAAAGTGCTTGAAATATGAAGTTTACATTTATGTACATCCTTTTTTTGTATTTAACCAATCTCAACATGAATTCAGCTGGCACCATTTAGGGTGCACATGAGAGAATGCATCCTGATAAAAGACGAGGAAATGTAGTATAAACAAAAGAATCGAGCTGATATAAATTCCCCAAAACAATATAAAAAAACTGACAACATCGTGGCTTCATTTACCTTGACAAGTTCATTTTGTTTTTAAGACCCGAAATGCAGATGTTTTTGTATTAATCGGTCCATGCATCTGACCAAAGCATGCAAAAAAATACGTGGGAAGCAAATACAAAGTTCCCATCCAGAAAATTTGTAAAACATGTACAATATCTATCGAGTACATGGCATACATTTGCTCAACCATCACTTGGAATCACTTGCGTATATCTTAAATAGTGACTGAATCACAGCCAAGGTGCTAACAATGGTAGGTTCACACCGGCAACGACCTTGGACTTGTGTGTGAAGAACATATCAAGTGCCTTTACGTTATTACATCAATCGCGTTGCCGCCACTGTGGTGAAAAACGTTACGTTCGGGTCACACGGTGTGTTGCGATCGGTTCAGAAAATTTGCCTTCACACACCATCCCCCCCGCCCCACGCGCCGTTTGCGCCACCCAAACCGTAATTAGCTGTCGATTACACTTAAGAGTTTACTAAACAGCACTTTCACGGTGTGCGGAGGCTCAAGGTGCCGTAACGTTACGTGCTACGTGCGAACCCACCTGAATGAAGGTGTGCGGCATCCCCCAATGTTATCCCGAGAGACAAGCAAAAGCCATTGTGTCAATAAATAGACAACCTTCACAAGTGCCTCGCGCAGGCTGCATGTAACTGCCCAATTGATGACATCCACTCGTATGATGTTACGTTTCTGTAATTATCCATTCGTGAAATATTCCCAAGCAATTGTTAGCGAAAGCAGAAATAAAAGTAAAAGTTTAAAAAAAAATTCCTAAACAACTTTCAAAGTAACTCTGAATTTCAATTGGGTAAGAACTGTTCACACAGCGAGGAGTAAAGCGGGATTGATTTTTTTTTACATACATTTTTATGGCAACGTGTACAGTTAAATATTGCGTGCACATTTCTTGACTTTGTTTCTAATAGGAGGAACATTTCATGTAACAAGGGTAGAGGGGGAAACAGTCGCAGTTAAAACGTGCTTTAGAGAAGCCGCGTAACAACGTTTGCAATTCCTGCCGCCAGGCACAGCTTGACGTACTGCCGCTCCCTGTTCAGTGCTAGACACCCCCCCCCCCCATACACATTAACCGTGCTAAATGTTTCTTGAGTTTGAAAAACGAAGATTTTCTCTTTTTTTTCCGTAGACGTATATAAAATGCATACAAGAGAATCCAATTCAAAATATGTGTGATGCAATAAAATCAAATATATTGTTAAAAAAAATAACGCTTATCTAACCATGAGTTAAAACAACCGACTACTGAATGAAACATAAGCCAACTTAGAAAACAAAAATCCACCCCCCCCCCCAAAAAGCACGGACTTAGACCAGAGGTGAAATACAGATATATAATCATCAAAGGTCACGTGACTACACTTTACAAAAGCTATGCTGCTTTTTAAAACAAGCATAATTAGCTAATTCAGGCTGAGCCTGCCATACAAAAAAAGTAGCAAGGGAATAATAATAAGAGTTGAAGCATTTGTGCAAATATTTACATCTTAAAACATCCTCACACGTGGAAGTTAGCAGCTTTAGCAACACGTTTAGAAACACTAATACAGCACAGCAATACCGAACGCTACTTATATTTTTTTGTTACAAGATTTCCATAAGGACTAGCCGACTACACTTGCTTTGTACTTCTCAACACAACGTTTTTTTTTCCATCCTGCCTAGACGAAAGAAAACAAAGGGGCAGAAAAGAAAGACGACACACGCATATATCTGCTCTGCAGAGCTTTTTCATGCATTAAAACGAAACCCGCAAAGGGTTTAAAAGGAAATAAGTCAAAAAATCACAGTAACGGCACTTCCACTACAACAACGGGATTGCAAAAACCACTGTTCCACAACAATCACAGACTACTCTTTATTACGGTTATAAGCGAGATTACATTTTAAACGTTAATTAACGTCGACTAACATGCCAATCAATAACTGAACGGAACTTGTATTTTGTTATGCTTTGCAGCGACTAGAAAAAATAAAAAGCACAAACATCGTGTGTGTTCATATAGACAGAGAAATGTCGTGAACAAAAACTAGAAGGGGGGAAAAAAGGCTTGAAAACCCAGTCAGTTGTGACCGGTTCCTGAACTTGAGCTAAGAAATGTGACGTTTAAGGCTTAGTTATTGAGTGCAACTATTATCGGCTGTGGTTTCCTGAAGGTTACAACAAAAATCTGAAGACATTGACATTTTTTTGTATTTTAAAATTGTTCTTTTAACGTGGTTGATTTTATCAGTCGTAATTTTTTTTCAACAAAAATAGAGAAACGTTAAAAAACCTAAACCATTTCACTTTGAAATCAACTGCCGAAAACTTCCATCAACAATCTTAATCAATAACCATATGCTCCCACTGCTCTAAAACAAACAAACAATTCCACGTATGTATGGTTGCTATTTAATATTCTTCGATGTTGCCTCAAGTTATTTTCAACATGTTTTTGTTTAAGTCTTCATGTTTGCGAGAGGAGGAGTCGAATACAATTGCAAGAGTTCTGCTAGGCTATGAAAAGAAAAATCAGTTGCATCAAAATTCAAAAGAGCTATTACAGTAGCTCTGCAGCAGTCACAAAAAATAACTCTTGTCCTTGAAAATGACGATGTAGTAAGTTTGCCTGAGCACACTTAGTGGGTTGGGGGAGCAGGAGACCTGCAGTGAAACTGGCAATACAATGCAAGACACGTGAGAGAAAGGAACATTCAAATGTAATGTTTTTTTTTCTTCCCTGAATTAAAAGGACAGGATACAAATGTTCAGGCGAGGCCGGCTTTTCGTAAAGGTCAGCCCACTAAATCACGTGGTCAAATAGGGCCTGTTTCCTCCTGCTCTCCTGCTGATAAGAGGTGTTGGGTCACCCCTTGCATCAATCTCCCTGCAGGCCAAGGGCCCAGTCAGCAGCCAACACAAAACCCAGGGTCCACAAAAAAAGAAAAGAAAAGCAAGAGAATGTGCCACTGCACTCCAAGACTTTTGTGTGCATTCAGAAAAGTGGCCAGGCAGCAATGTCCGCTTCCAAGAGAGATTCGGGAGGCACCTAGACCTCTAGTAGAAGCACGGCATGTGTGTCGTGCGCTGCTCAATCCTGAGATCAGATTAGTAGAAAGCTGCTGAATGGCAGAAGTTTAGTTGTCGATGCATCCAACTGCCTTGAAACAACAAGAAAAACTGATGAGGAAAAACTTGTGCACGATTCTGCTTCAATGCCCGAAGCAGTTTCGACAGCCCTAAAGGGTGAGGGAGTGTCTTTTGCACAAAGCCAAGTAGAGCAGGCTCAACATTTTTGACGAGAAATCTTCCCTCTTCCTCCTCGTCGCCTTGACGGGGCCCCGCTAGAGTCTGAGAGCCGCCTCTCGGTGCACCGGCTTGACATAATCGCTCTGTGCAAGCCCGGTCGGGATAAAGCCTGGGGTCGACTGGAGAGTCGTGCCAGGGGGAGAGCAATAACAGCCCTGTCGGAGTTGCCAGGGCATCAGGCACAGGAGGGCTCCTCCACCGGGGTCATCGGGGCCATGGGGTTGAGCGTACTGAGCGAGCGGAAGGCGAAGACGGACGGGTCGCAGATGTATCGCGGACCAGTGCTCACGCTCTGCGGGAAAGAGAGGGAAATTACACATCACGCTGGGAAATATCAAGGTGTCTGCGCGCTGGGGAAAATCCCCCTTCATGGGCAACTTTACATGGAATGACATTTTGTGAAATAGCAAAACAACACAAACGTTCTAGCGTCACAAAAGACAACGTATTCGCAATTAAACGTAATTCATCGTGCTAATTGCACATGACGGTTGATTGAGTTTGTGTGCATTACAACTCGTGGGGTTTTGACGAAATATAAATGTCGTGTTCTAAAGGAAACCTCAGACTATTCAATGACATGGAATTTAATTTTACGTGGTTGATTTTTGTTTAGGAAACAACATTGCACTTTCCTTTTGCATGAAAATTTAAGAAAATTAAGATGTGGATGAATAATTAATTAAGAAAACTGGCTTTCATTGGTGATGGATTGAAAAGTTTGTTGATGAAATACAGTGAATTGACAAATAATGTTACAAAAGTTGTATAAATAAAGTGATAGCTAATCATCCTCCAGCGAATCATCCTGTAGCTAAACATGCGAGAGACCAGTTTTTTATTTGTGTTTTCAGGAGTAAATGGCGATGAGTAATTGGGCCCACGAATGCATGGACTTAGGATGGAAATTGTAGGCTTGTCGGACTGAGTTTGAATCTTAGTTATGTAGAGAAGGCCATTGTTGTCACATTGTACAGATATTCTGCATGCATCCATTTTGTTGCCTCACCAATATCCACCGACATGCAAGAAATCTGTTCTTAACGTTTATATGACCGTAACAAGCTCACAAACCTAACTTTAAAAGTAAATATACATTGTTGTACTTTTTTTCACATTACGCACAAATTATCAATTACTTTTGCTTTGCCCTCATATTACTCAGCAATTCCTATGCGCATAAAATCTCTTGGCATGTTGGTACACAGCATTGTTTTTATCCTTGAGATAATCACAACATAAATAAATGGTGACATCTCCCCCTTAGTACTGTGCAAGTGTACGGCCACTGATAAAAAGGTTGAATCAATTGCTGTCCCCTTTGCATTATATTGGCCAATAGAATACACGTTACAACAGATGCAATGACAGGCTACTGCGCCACTCAGAATGTTAGATGACTACGCATGCCCCAGAGTATTGCAAGCTATTGCTTGCACAATGGAAACGACCACAGTTGCAAAACTGTGTAGGTTTTCGCAGTTGTTTGTGTGTGGCTCTCTCTCTCTCTCTCTGATGTTTCCAGGTTGTGCCACATGTTGTTCGGCATGATGTCTGACGTTTCACTCAATGTGGTGGGAGCTTCTTTCAGGAACCCTTCAGTTCAAGGATTATTCCGTAACTGAAGAAGCGCCCAGCACGTGAAGCGATTAAACGTTGGGCATCACGTCTCCCAGCGCGTGCAGCGAGAAACATCGGATGTCGTGCCGAATAACAACACGCGGTACGACACGAAACCACGTCTGAGAGCTGTGCCATATTTTGTATCTAGAGTGGGGGGAAGGGAGTGCGCACTAACATTCACGATGTGCACTGCAAGCCATTAAGAGATCCACGATACCGATACCCATGACAGATGGCAAACCCAACAGTCAACGCTTTAGAAAGCAGCAATGTCAACGTCCTAGTTTAAGCTCATTATGCAATTATTTGCCCTACACAGAACGGTGCTTGTAATGCCACAAACAACAACACACATAACTAAAGAGGGAAAGAATGCCAGGGTGTTGTCTGGCAAAGCGAAATGGAAGAGTAAGGCAGACCAAACATGTACGTTGAAAGACGATGACATTTTCAAAAGGAAAAAAAAAACAAGTTAGTCTTGTAGTGGCCTTGAGAAGAAATCGTGACAGCCGAATCCAGAGTGAAGAATGATGAGATATTGTTCTTGTTATCACTCATGCTGACGTGAAAGAGGAGCTAACGTTGGATGAAGATGATGATGACGACGATGACGATCATCCTTGCATTTAGAACCAATCTCTATTTTGCCAGATAGACTTTAGAAACTATAGGGAAAAAAAGGACGATTCATTTTTTAAGTAAATCATAAGTGCTGTTTTATAATGTTCAAATTAGTGACATAAGGTAGTATTAGAATACATCTAACATTGTATTTATTTGGATTTATCACGGTTGATTGAACAGTACATATTTATTCAGATTCCATTATTTTAATGTGATTCATAAAAACAATGCATTAACTTTGCTTTATTAATGTTTAATTTATTTATATTACCTTCGCGTCAACAAAGTCAAATGGGTAGTGCGTTATAATACAGTACCAACGGTGCATAAAAGCTGCCCACTCTATTTCAAAGACAACTTTCCATAAACACTTTGAGATGAGGTTATCCCTTGAAAGCCACGATGTCATAAAAAAAATTCAATTCGAGAAAAAGTTATGAAATCCATTCTGCTTATTCTCTCTTGTAAAGCTGTGATAACTCTCCACCCAAAGACTGTGGGGAAATTCCAGGTGCACTCGGTGGCAAATGGCAAACAGGCCGGGTGTCTTCATTGCTGCTCGAACACAAATTGAGTGTGCTTGCCATTGGCCTGAATGGAAGATGCCGTTAATGCACTGGCAGCTCTTGGCACCGAGCAAGCAGATATACGCAGATATACGCAGATATGCGCAGATATGCGCAGATATGCGCAGATATGCGCAGATATGCGCAGATATGCGCAGATATGCAGAGCCAATGCAGCTGTTCCGTGTAACATATACATTGCTTTTGTGGTTCCAGTATTAATTTGAGAAAATAAAAGGTATAAAAAAAAGCTGTTAAGTACATAATTCTTTCGAGAGATTTATGAAACTAGTCCTGCACAAAGAGAGCCCGATCACTACAGCTTTATTTCGGCATCGGTGCATTCAAGTTCAGTGCAGCTGGTACGTTCATTGTGCGCACACAGCACGTACTGTACTTGGAACACTGCACTGGGAGTAAATCATGATGAATACACGCTTGTTCCGTGTGATTCTCGGCATGAGAAGGAGTTAATTCGCTTTGCAGACGCACATTGCTGGCGGCGAATATTCAGCGACAAGATTGGCAGTTGAGAAAGCAGGAGTATGGGTGCGACCTTTACAGTTGTGTTGCTTCTCCGTGGCTTCATGCTGTGAAGCCGTTAGAAGCCTGCCTATCACCCTGAAAGTTGGCCTGAATAGCCTGCAGAGAGTTCAAGATATTAACAATGAAAAGCCTGGGCCCTTTAAAGTGATTGCTTTCTATTTTCAGCGCTAACCAAGGATAAAAAAAAAACATGCCACATGCTGCTCTAAATTCCAAGCAAGTGCTGAATAGTTATAGCTAAACTTTTTCTAAGAATGACAGAATGTTGAGAGAACAAAGAGTAAGCTAAAGTTGGGCTTTGTTTACTTTAAATTGTTCTGAGAGACGAAATGCCTGGCAGGTCGTGCATGAATACAAGTATATTTCCCCCATACGACAGCTGCAGCCAATCCTTAACGTACATCAAAGTTTACACTACTCAAAGAATAGCCGTGTCTGTTGAACAGCAGTACGAAAACACGTGGAAATCATGTCACATCTTTGCATTCACAGGTGTGGCGGATACTGGCATAAACAGAAAAGCATCAACGGGGGCTCCCAAATGCGTTGTTGCGCATGCCAAAGAAGCACAGAGCTTTCCTCTGCGAGGGCACAGGCAGAGCATTAAATAGAACCCAACGGTGAATGCCCTGAGAAGGAACTGGTGTTTCACATGCCTTGGCCACATGGCATCACAACTCCCAATTGTTTGCCGGCCAAAACATATATCTCCACTCAGCTGCCTCAAAGGAGAAAGTCAGCAGTACAAGTAAATGCAGCCAACATGCCATTTTGTCATTTGTTTTCCTTCTGAAAGCAACTTCCAAGCACAAATAAGCCTGAAGGTCAGTTTAACTTGCAGGTCAATGGCTTCATTTATACATGTTCATATTTTGAATTGAATAATTTGGTCAAAAATATTTTCGGGCAGACTGCGTCTTGGCCAGATGGTATGAAAATTATGCAGAGCCATCGGCAAGGCAAGCAGAGCCCTTTACAACATCATGTGGCTCCCAGTGGAACTACACGCTACCCTTTCCCAGAGATTGCTTTTCACGTCCCTGCCATACAAGACACCACATGTGAGCGTCTGAGAATACCTACATAATTCACATGCTCAAAATTCCTTCACTGTAAGCGGATTTTTGCCTTCAAGAAATTAAATCTCATCAAGATGTGTGTAATGTGCACGTGTGATTGTGTGATGATGTGACACTGTGCAGTATTGCAAATGGACGATTATGATGATGCAATGCTGTGATTCCACGTGCTTGGAAGTACACTTAAGAAACAGACAGAGGTACACATGAATCAAAGAACATACACAATTAGCTAAATCACATCGACTGTTAGTAGAAGAAGGCTTGGGCAGAACACGTCGCTAAACGGGATAATGGCCAGTGGTTGAGACTAACAATGGAGTGGCAGCCAAGGCAGGAAACATATATATACCACATACCCAAGCGACGAAATGGAACGATAAAACCAGAGCATTGTGCGACCACAAGGGATGACAACGGTTTAGAGAAGTGTTCATCCAACAGTGGACAGATCATGGCTGATGATTGTGAATGTGTAAATGAAAATTAAATACAATGCAGCCCAGATATTACGCACAGTATGTTAAACATGAAACCGATTTCATACACGAAACATGTATCTGTAATATCTAGGCATACAATTACTACCAAAAACATGGTACAGTACTGCTCGCAATAAAATACAACAAAATTGAAAGAGCCAATTATTTTTTTTGTAAAATTTAAGAAAGAATAAAAGAGGTAAATAGGAAAATAAACCCGCGGGCACGAACGTGAGCAAGCAGAAACCAAACAAATCCATCTTTAAAGAAACATATCCACAAAGCCTGGCTGCACTGTATCGGCAACTGCTGATGTTCTCAGAATGACAGGTTTATAATGATGACTACCTGTACTGTGATTCCCTGGGCACT